TACCACTGCTCCTTAATAGCTGAAACAAACTGTGCCAACTATTTCAGACTAGTTTAATTTTAAAAAACAAAAATAATCATGAATAATGGAAATGTAAATTCATTTATTTTGATTCTAATCTTTCTATTTGTAAATACTAATCAATAAACAACTATAACATTTCGAAAATAAACATTTAAACCTTTGTTTTAAATAACCGAAATTTGACGAATAGGTAGGTATAGCACAAAATGAACTACCTACGAAATTTAATAGACAGCACAGTATATCCCATATTGTAAGATTATGCTGTACTAAATTGTTGAGACTGTACACAAGTAAAGTTAACTTCATCGATTATATTTTCTAATATCATGTTTTAGTTGCGGTTATAAGTGAAGGATATGTTTTTACTCGTAACTCCTTACTTTTCTAAATTCTTATCATTTTGTCATAAACTAAACAATTACGACAGTTTGCTATTTCTGTGTGAAGAGTATTGATGGACATTCTGTACAATGTAGACATCTTTTATATGTTGTATTAGTTTTTGTTAATTTTTTGTAAATTATTTTGACTCAAATTAAAATTAAATAAAAGCCAAATCAAAAATGGCGCCTTAAGCGATGGTAGCGTACTCTATTGACAAACGTTACAACTACACTGATTTTAGCGTTACCTATTCGACATGGTGAATCTAGTAGTGGTATTTAGCGGTTTTCTACATGTTACTTACATAAAACCCGTGAAGATGTCACTACAAGTCGGTTTTTGCAAATACAATTATTACATACTATTTTATATACAGGGTGAGACATGGACACGGTAAATAAAACAATCTTGCAGTATAAATTCACCTAGTTTTTCCTGCATACAGTAAAATGTATTATGGAGAAATGTAATAGAAGCAGCCCTCGCTTAGGGATCAAGGGCAAATAGATTATGAATCTTGAGAAAAAATTGTGTGTTTAACAGCAGGCCCACAAGAAACTAAAGGTTGATATAACTTTTATATATGAGCAAATGTATAATTAACCAAAAATATTTAAGAGTGATACAGAAACGACTGTTAATAGTCAGTTATATAAAAAGGAGTTAGTATTATAAACTAACAGTTATATACAAAAGATAGGAAAGTATGAACAGATAACATGAGTGTTCAGTGTGATGTTAATGGTGTATAATAAGTTGCATAAGTCATTTTTATATGTAATAAAATACTATAAGAATATTTACATATCAGTACAAGGAATTGTCTCAATGCATTATAAGTTTGTATTGGGACAATTCCTTTTACTGATATGTAAGTATAATTCTTATAGTATTTTTACATATAAAATGACTTATGCAACTTATTATACACCGTTAACATCACATGAAAGCGGTCTATATAAAACACTTCATGTTATATTAAATACTTTCGTACCTCTTTTATATAAATGATTAGTTTATAATACTAACTACTTTTTATGTAACGGACTATTAATAGTCTTTGCTGTACCACTCTCAAATATTTTTGGTTAATTACACATTTGCTCATGTATACCATCTATTTAAACCTTCGTTTCTTGTGGGCCTGAAAACGCTGTAAAACTTGAACCTGTCGCCAAATTTTTGTTTTAATAAGAACCAAAACCCTACAGATTGTGAGTATAAAACCCTTTTTCCCTTACATTCATGAATATGTGCTCCTACCAGCACACAATCCTTTCACCAGATTGATATTACTTATTTCTGCATACAGTAGGAGAGGAAGGGGTGGTTTAACAAACTAAGCAAAAAATGTCTGAAAATGTATTATGAAGAAATGTAATGGAACCAGACCTCGCTTAGGAATCAATGGCAAATAGATTGATAATAGAAACAAGCATGTTTTTAACACATACATCCCATAAAGGGATCACTTTTATTATTTGAGATATAAGAAGTATGATTGATAATTCATCAAAAATTGTACTATGTATGAATATTGTGCTCACTTTAAATTATCTTTCTTCCCACATGCTCAAATCATAAATGTCATCATCATTCTGGCTAACAACCCTGCGTGGCTCCTCGAAAATATTTTTTTTTCTCTCTCTAGTCGTGCCTATCCATCGCCTTCCTCCGCCAAACACTTATTCTCATATCTTCATCAATGTTATCTATGAACCTTCTTCTCTGACCAATCGGTGTTTCAAGGAGCGTTTTTCTAAATGGGTGATTTTGTTCCATCCGCATTACATGCCCTATCCACCACAGACGTCCTATATTAATATGTTTTACGATATCTGTTCCTGGTATATTCTATAAAGTTCGAAGTTATATCGTCTTCCAAGCACTCGATTGTCATTCACTGCTCCATAGATAGGCCTTATTACTTTTCTTTCGAAACATCTTAACATGTTTTCATTACTTTAACAAAAAGTATGTCCAGGTCTCTGAACCATATGTTAGGACTGGGCGTATTATTGTTTTGTAGTTTTATTTTTGTATTTCTCGTTACAAATCATAAGTACTTATTAACATATTAAAAAAATAAAAGCCCATATTTTTTTTATTCATTTTTGCGCAAAATTTCGAACCAATAGTTTTTAAATGCATTGAGTTTTTTTCGAATCCTGAGAAAAATAATATATTGAAAAATTTAAACGCAGAATGGAAGACTATATTATTACCGAGAGCCGAATGTCCTTAGAATACACAAAAAGTTTCTTTTGATGAGAAATTTGAAATCAAAAATCACACTTTTTTTTTTCACCCCTGTAACTTATTAAAATAAACATTATAGAAGTTTTCAGGGACTTTCGGCTCTCGGTAATAATGTAATCTTTCATTCTGCCTTTAAATTTTTCAAAAATACTTATTAATTTCCTCAAGATTCGAAAAAAAATGAATGCATTTAAAAACAATGGCCCGAAATTTTGGGCCTACGCCCTTAAGTGACGATTACCCTCTAGAATGCTAAAAAATGACATTTTCAACAATTTGTATCATACTTTTGTATTATCTATTTTATGGCAATCAAACTTTTTTTATACCGTTCTGAAGCTATTTTCTTGTGACATCTTAAATTAATTACTTACTATTTTAATGTGAACAAGCCACAATTAAAGTTTAAAATGAGTTAATTGACGTTTCAATTTCCATTTCAGAAATCGTTCTCAAAATATAAAATTTGTGTTTTGAGAACGATTTCCAAGTGGAAATTGAAACGTCAATTAACTTATTTTAAACTTTAATTGTGGCTTATTCCTATTAAATAAATACTCTTTTATATTATTATAAAACTTTTGAGGATTGTAAAGAAATGTTTCTTTTTTTTTATTGTTCCTGTACTTCAAAGATAGCGCCAAAAATTACAGCTATGTGCCGCTCAGTTAATCTCTAGAACGCCAAATTTTACATATAACAATTTTTGAAACAGTGCTCTTATGGTGATAGTTTGCCAAAAAAATTGAAAATCCCTAAAGAAATAAAATGGCGGACATATGAAAAGATTATTCTAAAACTTATCGTTTTTTTGAGTCTCAAAAATTTTTATATTAGTTTTTTCAGTCAAATTGTGGTAAACTGTTGTTAGGCTGTCGCCTAAAACATCCCAAATTTTGACATATGCAGATGTTGACCTAGTTGCCCACACAACACGCAAGCTAGAGTAAATGTATACCACCTTGTCAAATGCCTCAAAAATATGGGCTTGCAAGTTATTGAGGAGAAAAAATAAGATAATGGCATCAACACCCAATAATAAAGCCAGAAACATCGGACAGCAATGCACGGTTGATATCTCTACCTTTGAAGTTGTGGACAAATTCACATACTTAGGTTTCCTGATCACCAAGGAGAATGTCATGACTGAAGAATAATCCTAGCAAAAAAGTGATATTTTGGATTGAGTAGACAGATGAGAAGCAGAAACTTCAAGCCAAAAAGCAAAAAATAACCATATACAAAACTCTTATACAACCAGTGTTGACATATGGATCGGAGACATGGTCATTTCTGAGGCAGATGAAAACCTCATGCTTATATTTAAACGAAGGATCATGAGAAGAATATTTGGTGGCATCTGTGACAATGATGTTTGGAGAAGGGGGTACAACTACGAGATATATCAGATATACATATATTTGGTGGTAAAGACATAGTATCTCTTATAAAAATAGGAAGACTAAGATGGACAGGATCTGGTAAGATCGCAGCAGAACAACCCTCTTAGAAGAATACTTATGCCACAGCCTTTGGGAAGTAGAAGTAGGGGTAGGCCAAAACTCAGATGGGGGATGGTGTAGATGAGGATGATAGAAAAATAGGTGCAGCAAATGGAAAAAAAGTTGTATAATATATAGAGCTTGATTTCCATATAGAAAGATAACATTGTTATCTATTGTTATATAAAAAAATGTTGAAAATGCGTCTCTTTTAGCATTCTAGACTGTAACACTTAACGCTTAAGGCTAAGGCCTGGAATTATTTCCTTCTTTAAGTACTGGAACTGTAATTGTGACAGATATTATCAATAGCAATGCAGCACAGTATCTAGATTAACAACTGTCCTCATATCACTTTTGATAATAGCTGCTGCAGCTACAGATGACACATAAATAAGAATAAAGTCAAGACACTATAACCTCAACGATAATCTTTAATTACATTTTAAATAATGTTAAATGGGAAGGCAGCCTTCCACATCCTTGCTGATGGAAAATAAAACTCCAATAAGTATTATAAATTACTATATTATTATCATTACATAACATACACACAAACATACACCTAAGTTTTAATGTCAGATTTATAGTAAATTTGTGTAATTTGGATCTGCTCCTAAAGAACAACTGGTCACTAGTAGGGATTACTTTGTGAAAGATATGGTTTGCAGTCCTTAATGTTGTGTAGTATCTATTAGATTTAAGCGCTTTGATAATTGTTAACCTATAAAAGCGTATTTTGTAACTTAAAATTAATAACTTGTTCGAATTTGTACTCAGTATAAAAATATAATTTTTCTCTAATGTAATATTAAAGAAAGGATTTTTATGAAAAGAATTTTTATTTAATTTCTTTGCCAAAACTCTAACAATCTTGACTAGATCTAAGTATGTGTGAAACATGAAATGTGAAAAACTATTAACAGAATAAAAATTTATGATAGGAACGCTCTGACTGTGGCCTCTAAAGGTTTTCTGCATACAGCACATGTTTTTAGTGCAGCAGCACAATCTACACAAGCAACAATATGTCCACAAGGCAAGAAAACAACACCAAGTTCGTTTTTAAAGCAAATTTTGCACAAAGTTGTGTCAGTTGAGAAACTTTCCCTATCTGATTTTGTTTTCACTGTTTCACTTTTATCACTTAAAGATTCAGTAGCAGTCGGTTCCTCTTTGGCTTGAGTACCGCTAGGTCCAGGAATTGAAAATTGTGGATCAGCCTTCCTCTTTACTTGATCAATGAATTCTTTGCCCTTTTTCAAATTAAGAAACACGCACTTGCTAAACCAAAGGGCATGTTGCTCCCAAGGATCATCTCCTTCATCCCAGTCTTTTAATCCCCCACCACAATAAAAGCACACAGTTTGGTCTCCAGCTCCTGTGTAATAAAATCCCGCCTCAGCTAACTCAGACGGCCTCTGTTTAATGCTCTTTGGCCAACCCTGGAATGTTGCTAACCGGCTTTCATATGTAATTTTGTCTTGATTTTGTGGACCCGTTCCAGGTTGGATCCCTAATTTTTGTAAATTACTTGTATTATCTTCAGGAACTGAATTTGGTAACAATTCTATGCCAAAAAGTCCACAAGTATCTCTAGAACCTACAGAGTGATCGTGCTCAATGTTATCTCTCCTATTATGAAACTGACAGTTAGGATTCCAAACTCGATGGTCATCCATTGGATTGTCTCCTGATACCCAACGGTATCCCTCTATCTTACAAATAGGACAGATAACAATGTCATCTTGACCTGTATATATAAAACCAGCTCGAGCTAATGATTCTCTTGACACTTGGGTGTTGGGCCAGTTAGTGAAAGATGCCAGTCTGTTCTCATACGCTGAGTAGTCTTCTTGACGTGGTGAGGACACTTCTACTAATGATTCTCTTGTTTTGGAGCCGTTGTCAGGTTGGTCTACACATGCAAAAGATATATTTTGAAAGAGATTGGATTGAACTACCGCCATTTTAGTACCATGGAATCTGCAACAAAAAATTAATTATTTAGTAAGTCATATTTGATATCATATTTTATGTAAGTAAATGACTTTGTTAACGGAACAGAATAGCTATCAGGCAGTATAATATATGTTTTCGTTCTTTTTTTAACTCTTATACCCAGAAATAGAAATTATGTAGCTATAGAAATGTAATAGAATAATGGAGAATTAACATAAATTAAACTATCTTTAGTTATTCTTCAATGAAATAAATACATATTTGTTGCGGATATCATTATAATATACCAGTAGAACTACAATAATAATTATTCTCTTATTCTTGGATAGACTAGTTACTCAGCTTGGAAATATTTTGGAACAATTATTGTCAAAAAGATACAACACAAATTTTCCTATCCCTCACTATTAATAGCTCAAATAAACTTACTGTTGCTGACTTCATCATCATTCTGGCTTTTTAACCCTGTATAGGTTTTAGTCTCCTTAAGTATTTCTCTCCAGTTGTCCCTTTTCTTTATAAAACATATACTCACATATTTCTCATTTCATTGATGGTATCAAAGAACCTTTTTCTGTCTTCTTCTGCGACAATGGGTCTGTCTACAATGAGTTATTTTTTTTTTGGTCATTTTCTTCCATCCACACTACATGCCCTACCCACCTCAAACATCAAACCTTAAGATATTTTACAATATATGGTTCCTTGTATATTATATTAAGTTCGAGGTTGTACTTCCTTGTCATTCATTGCTCCATATCACTTTAGTACTTTCGAAACATGTTTTCATTACTTTTTGTTAACAAGTTCAGGTCTCCGAACCATTGTTAAGACTGGGTATATTATTGTTTTGTAGAGTTATTTGTATAGTTATAGTTTGTAGAGTTATTTCTCAATATAATCGAGGATTTAAAGAGATTGAGCCCAAATTAGCATCTGTAGGCCAAGCTGATGCTACTGTTGCATACTTCGTCCATTGAAAAAGGAAGAATAATCAAGAATTTAGATTAATGATTAGAGACTTCCAATGAAAAGTCAAAATTTAATCAGTTTAATATTTACTATTTAATCAAAAATATTTACTAAATTTACTTGGATATTGTTCTGTGACTGTGTTCAATCAACAGAAGATAAATATTTTTCTTATCAATTCTTGCAATTCAATTTGCTTCACCACTATTCCATTATTTGCATTCAGAATGTTTTTGTTAAGATTTTGTCAGATACTAGTATTTATTGAAAATTAAGTAAAAATTATAAGATTTTTCTATTGATTTATAGTTTTTAGCTGGCATCTCATGTGAGGTAGTTTCCACATTGTTATTATTAAGCTATTATATTAAAATAATTGTGAAATTTTTAATTAGCTAAATAAACTTACAGTTCTATCAGTTTATATTAAGCAACTTGTGGTCTTGCATTATCTACATGTATATTGTTAAGGAATACCTATTTCCCTTGGATTTTTGTCATATTTTTAAAAAGTAGATTGTCACTGACAACAATTTATAATTATGAGTAGTGTTCCATAGCCAGTTTTACATACAATGGATGTATCAACATGTAGAACAAAAGTCAATAGTTCTTACAAAACCAGCTGTCCATGACTGGCGAACCAGACAGCAGATGTGTATAAGTTTTAGGTAATCAATACAAAGTCAATTAAAACCGTTTAGTAATTTTTTATTGTGGTATCTATAAAGACATACTTATGTTCAAAAACACATTTACAAGAAAATGTAATAATGGATTATAATAAAGTTGAAATACATATAGCGAAAGTTTGGTTGCATAACAGTAGGGAGCTAGCATATTCTGTTTAATTTATTGACAAAAAGTATCTAAATCAATCGATATGGAACAGCATTTATAAAAGCTTAAAGGTCAAATTTCAGTGCAAATTAGCAAAATTATCATATTTATCCACCATAAAAATAAGTAGTGGTTTCTGTCAAAGTCCAGTAAGTTTTAAATGTACAACACAAAGACGTACTTATTAACCATATCTCAGTAATTGACGTATTTATAAAATTAATTAAGATAAAAATATGATTGTGATGACACGGTATGAGACAAGCAATAATTCTAAAATATTTTCCTTATCATGCAATGCTTTATAAGTCTCCGGTATATAACAGTAAACAGACAGACTGCTTCAATCCAATAAAGCTGCAGTAATACCCCGCTTTAAATGCCAAAGAAATGAGAACAATTGTAGTTGAAACGAAAAGTAGAAGGTACAGCTTGCAGACGGCAACGTTGTTGGAATTCAGAAACCATTCACGATTTCCAACATTCCTTCTTTCCTTGCCTCTCATACTCCGTACAGGCCAAGTATCCAGCCCTACCACATTCCTTTAAGATCACATCAATGACCGAGCGCCGGAAACAAGAAAAAAAGTACCCACAGGAGAGAGATAGAACGAGAGACCTACACTGGCACCCAGACGTTTCTTAGAAAAACACCGGCACGGCTTATCATATGATTATAATCGATACAACCGCCTTAAAATTAGTGTGTATTTAGAATATAATCATGTAGAACACTCATTTTCACTTTAAAATAGCTACGTGGATTTATATGGAACACACAAGGCTGCGAGCGATCGCGACATATGGCTTCTTTGTGCAAAGATTTTCGCATACATCGTCTCAAACACACTAAATTTATATCACATCAACTCATACTGACCTGATTGATATTGCAGCTTGTTGAATTTATAATAACTTTCCCATTTTTTCCCGATTTTTACTTAATTTTTAACACCCAGAACGAACTAAACACACGAACTCAGACCCGACGATTTCTCACTCGATACTCGAACCTCGTACACACTCAACCATCCACACACCGCTGCCAGTTCAGAGCGTAGTTGCCGCTTTTAAACATTCTTCTGGTAGGTTTGCAGCGCAATCTCGTCTCTCACCAAAAACAGAGTCGACGTGGACTCGTAGCCCGGTTCATGAATCGAACATGCTATAAAATCGTGGAGTAGTATGAAAAATCGTTTCATAATAATGCACGATATTGTTATTAAGTTTGATCATAGGAAGTAGTGAAATATAGCATGATAAATTTACGTAAATATTGCTGATTAATTTTTAACATTTTGTCATTTCTACATCCTATCGCAATCAAGGACCGCTCCACTTTAATGAACATGTAACAAATATGCTGAATTTAAGAAGACTAACAACTCGTGTGGTTTACTCTTAGAGTGTGTGGTTTTTGGTTTTCTTTGGGCTTTTTCCAATTATGTTTCACTGGCAGTCAATCCAATCAGTATTTAATATTTTTATGCTTTAAAGTTGTTTAAGTGATTCTTTCTTCCTCCTTTCCCGTTTCTGTATTAACTTCTTCAGCGATATATTTATCTGGACCTCCTAGCTTATTTTTGGCGTGCCTGTGAGAAAGTAGGTAATTGTTTTTTTAATCGGTTGCTTCTGGATTATTATTTTCTAAATTTTCCATTGAATTTGGTCTCTGTGCTTTGATAACTTTATTATTTTGTAATTCATCAGTCTTCTGAGCTCACCATTATATAACTGTATTATTGGATTCTGTCTCCGGCTTCTATATAACATGTAGCTTCTCCTTTTTAAAAATTTTAAAGTGTTTGTTTGTCTTTGTGTATTGTATTGTTATGTCCAAATTTACATATATGATATTCTACTCATGTCGGATAGGCCACAACTGACGAAATGCCCCTGAAGATGATCTATTGATCGAAAGTACTTGGGCAAGATTTAATTAATTACTGTGTTCGATAGTTGCCTTGTATACCATCAAAGTATAACTGTATTAGGCTAGTGATTCTTACGATTTTCCAATCTGAGAGTCCTTAACTTTTCAGTTTTTGCAATAAATACAATGTTTTGGCACCATATCTTTTGTATAGTTTATTTTTAAGGTAAGGATTTCTTCGATTTTTCAATATCGCCATTAAATATCACCCCTTTGTATTCATATTTGCCGGAAGACATGTTATGTTCTTACAATTAAGTATTATGATGAAAAAGACGCATTTTCGATGCGAGCCGCCTCACGGACCGATCTGTGAAAATATGGATTCAAAGTGCCGCACACGTATCGCAGTGTCGGCAGTGCGCCAGAAAGGGACAGACAGAAGATAGCAGACAGCAACTTATTACACATTTTTTAAAGGTCCTTGGTGTATGCCTACTGGCCCAACCCAGGCCCAAGACATTCATCACACTCGATTCTCGGTATGGGTGGAGGAGGAACGATTTTTTCTGCTTGTGTGTATGATCAAAAGAGAAATTCCTTAGCACATTGAACCAAGCTCGCGAAACTAATCAAACGAGAGCAAAACCAAGTTGAGGAGGCAAACATTGTAGGAAATCTTTTATATGAATTCTTTAAATATAGAAAACAGAGTTTTTCTGTTAAACAAATTTGCAATGGACACTAATGTTTAGATTTAAATTTTTACTACTTTTCGGAAGATTTTGCGAGGCTACAGTCGTGAGAGCATAAAATTGACAGTCGCAGTCGATCAATGAGAAAACCTCTGATTATAGATGCATCCATTGATTACCTTACAAACCATAACATCGTGTGACACTCTCAATTATCCGTGTGGGAGGTCAATCAAACATGGCTTGGCTCTTTAATTGATGCGTAGTTGGAAAAGTTTCTAGAAAATTGTGCTTGTTTAGCTACTGATATAGGTACATGTCCAATTAAGGATGCCTGTGACATTGAAACAACTTAAAAAAACATAATAAACCTTTTAAAAATAACTAGTATCGCATGCAATATGTGCATACATGCATATTAACTATATATAAAAAAAAACAAGGTAACTATCGAAATACTGGAAAAAAAAATAAGTTTTGAGGAACAAAGTTTAAAAACGCTAAAGTTAAAAGTTACCAATGATGTTTTATGGGCATAATAATTCTTTGCTAATTTAGAATCATGTCGATATATTGAATTTGGTTTCTTTGAGATTATAAGTGAAAAAGAACATATATTTTTTAAATCGATTAACTCTCTGCTT